GCGTGGGGCACTGCCAGGGCAAAGGCCTGGAGGACTAGCAGAGTTGTGTGCCTGCCAGGTGCCTGGGAGGCTCGTAGAGAGTGGAGGTGGGGGTGCAGAGGCGGCAGCCAGCCCGAACCTGAGCTGTAAGGTCAAGGTAAAGCCCTTGGATGCCAGGCGGGGGAGCTGGAACTTTGGACCACAGCAGAGGGGAGCCATGGAAGGTTGTAAGCAGGGGGGAGGATATGGTCATGTCTGCAGGGAAGAGACTGAGGAAGGGGTGGGAGGGAGACCAGACAGGGGCTGTCACCCTTGTTCAGGAGAGAGGGCAATGGCTTGGCCTACGGAGTAGAAGACAGGACTGATCAAAAAAGGGGAAATGTGGAAGGTGGGGGCCAGGGCGAAGGCAGGACCGATGTGACCTGTGGCTGGGTGGCGGTGGGGGGACAACGCTGTGCTCAGCATGGGGCGGGGGCCACAACCGGCCTTACACTGGGCTTTCCGATGTTCCTCCAACACACCGGCCCTGGGGGACCTGAAGCCAGGAAGGTGGCAACCACACAAAATCTTGTCAGCTGGTGCCATTCACCCTGGCTGGTCTCTCTGCCTGGGATTCCACCCTTCCGCCCCATCTCTGAACGCTGACTCTTCATTCCCTTCAGGGGTCCCTACCCAAATATCATCACTTAGACAGCCTCCCCCAACCACTGTTTAAACAGCACCCCTGCCACCGTCCTGCTGCCTGCGTCTCTCGATGATACCCGTCACCACCGGACATTTGTCTGTCTTCCCAGATAGAACATGAGATTCCAGGGCAGGGATTCTTGCCCGTTACAATGTCCAGTGCCTCCTGGAATGAATGAATGAATGAACGAACAAACGAACAAATGAATGAATGAATGGGTGAGTGAGTTAGCAAGTCACTACATGAACAAACCAAGCTCAGAAATTCGGCTGTGCTGAGGACAGAGACCTGGGAACTAGTTCAGCAAGGATCAGGGGTGATTGAAGCCGAGGGGTTCTGGAGAGGCAGGGGGCAGGGACCTCACGGGACACTGAGGCCCGGAGTCGGGGGAGGAGTGCGGAGGGCCACTGGTGGAGAGGGCTCGGAGGAGGGCAAACGTGGATGTCCGTGCGGCCGCCCGTCTGCTTGCATTGTGTGTCTGTACTGTGTGTCTCTGTGCGTTCTGTTCGTGCGTCTGTTTCTGTGTGTTTCTGTGCATTTGTGCCCATGATTGTGCCGTATGTGTGTGCACATTGTGTGGATCTGTCTTATTTCTGTACTTTGTGTGGTGTTCCTATCTGCGTGCTTATGTTGTGTGTGTGTTTCGGGAGTGCCGGTGTGTGTTTCTATGTATTTGTATCTGTGCGTGCGTGTTGTGCGTGTCTGTGCCTGTGTGCGCACGGATGTTTGTCTTTGGTCGTGCTGTGTGGCCTGCTGTGCAGGTGTTGTGCAGACATCTATGGGTTGTCTCTGTGGCTTTATTAGATGCTGTGTTTGTGTGTGTGTGCGGCGCATGTGTTGGGTGTGTGTCTGTCATCCGGGGGCTGCCTGCTGGTGTCTGTGTGTCTCTGTGGGTGATGGTGTTGGGTCACTTCATGCGTGTGTGTGTGTGTAGCTGTGTGTCTGCGTGCTGGGGGTTCCCATACCTGGCATCCCTCACTCCACTGAGTCATAGCAGCAGACACCTGGGCCCAGCCCTGATTTCTTCAGAATTCCCACTTCCTCATAGCCTGGAGTCCTGCAAGACGTCAGGAGGCCTGCCAGCCTGCACAGGAGGCGCTGACCAGGACCTCTGGGCTTCCAGGGCCAGGAATCCAGTGCCCTCCTCCATGGGGGAAACTGAGTCCAAAGAAGGGCAAAGCCTGCTTAAGCCACACGGGCAAGGACAGGGGTACTGCTGGGCCTCTGAGAGCGGACAGCATGGACAGCCCCCGGCTGGGAGGAAGCGGGGCACTGGCTCATGACTATGAGGTCGCAAAGCCCCAGGGGAGGACCTGTGGGGCGTGAGGACAAAATCCCAGGAGCTGCCCCTGCCTCTGCTGGGGCGGCCCTCTCAGGGTCCCCCCCGTTCCCCCAGACTTCTACATCTGCCAGTCTAAACAAGTTTTCCTCCAATCTTGCTTTCCACCACCTTGAACTGTCCTATGCATTTATGGATTTGAATCTGCAATGTGGAGGGACCTTGGGGACACGGTGCTCAGGGACATAAGCCAGACACAGAAGACCCTGTCTGATCCCACTCCCAGGAGGTCCCCAGAGGAGCCCCATCCCCAGACGGAAAGTGGGTGGTGGCGCCAGGGGCAGAGGGATGAGGGGGGACTGAGTGTTTCACGGGGACAGAGCTTCAGTTTGGGAAGATGGAAAGTTCTAGAGACAGGGTGGGGACGGCTGCACCACAGTCTGAGTGTACTTAATGCGGTTGAAAATGATTAAAATGTAAATGTTGTTTTATCCCAATGAAAAACAAAAATATTTGTTTTTCCCCCTCATGGGAGCTGGGGCTTTATCTTGTTCTCAGAGCCTGGCATACAGTAGGTGCTCAAACAGTGGGTGCTGGGGGGAGAGCTGATCTGTCCACAGCAGACGGAGAGAGAAGGAGACGGGGAAACAGCCGGAGTGCGGATGACTGAAGCCAGCACCTTCTCCTGGGCTGCAAATCGTGCTCGGAGCAGCGGCTCTAGGGGAATTTGGCCCCATCTGGAGGTATTTATGGTCGTCAGGACCAGGTGGAAGCTGACGGTGGGAGTGCTCCTGGCATCTAGTGGGGGAAGGTAGGGATGTGGCTGAGCACCCTACAATGCCCAGGACAGCCCCACTACAAGGAATCATCTGGCCCCAATGTCAGCCATGCTGAAAATGACAAACCTGGCTCCAGAGACACCTCCTCCTGGAAGCCCTCCTGGATTCGACACGCCCACTGCTCTAGCCCACCATATGCTCCTGCTTCCCTTCTCCCTCTCACAACACCAGGAGAGGTTCATCAGGTGGGGTGAGCCTGAGTTCCGCCCCAGTGGGGTTGGGGTGGGGTGGCCTGTTTGCTCTGAGTGGGGGAAGGAGGCCCTGTCCCAGTTGCTGAGGTTTCATGTTCAGTGCAGTGGGTGCAGCTCAGCGCACGGAGCACAGGTTAGGGTCGGGGGCGAGTAGGGTCAGGGCCGGAGGTGGGGCACCATCCCGCCTGGGAACTGTATACAGTCATTGAGGGACCCCCGGACTCATCCCCACTGAGTCCGGATCCCGGACTGGCGATGAACCAGGCGCAGCCCCAGCCTCAAGAATCCCAAACCTGAAAGAAGAACCGACACGCTCAGACCAGGGCCCACATCCGCACGGTTTCCTGTTTTTCCCCTGAAGGGACACCGCAGGGGGGAAGAAGGAGGGGACCATCGCATGACAGGGTCCCCGCAGCTCCCAGTTAGTGGTCAAGGATTCACCCCAAAACCATCCTCTTGATCCTTGCAGGAGCCTGGAGCCTTGAAGGACACAACAGGGATGGGGGCAGGAAGATGGCCCCCCCAAAGCTCAGAAACGCCAACTGCACCCCCGCCCTCCCCTCCCCCTGCACCCCTGGCCTGAGTCCTCCAAACAGACTTGCTCCCAGACTGCCCCTTCCTCCTCCTGTGTCCCCGTCTCTAGGTCAGCCCACCGCCACCAGACCCTCCAAGTGGGACGCCAGCGCTTTCCACGGCATCTTCTGAGCACCCACCCACTCTGTCACCCATTTCCAAGGCTTGCTTGCTTCTCTCCATCCCCATAGCTGCTGCCCCAAGCCACCTCCTCCAGCCCCTGGGTCAGGTGACAGCACTCCATGTCCCCATTGCCCCCTGGCCCTCAGGCAGCCCCCAGGTCCACGGGCCCCCTGCCGTCTTATCCACCCAGCAGCCCTGGTGACCTCTCTCGGATGCCCACCCCACAACTTCCTTCCCTACTTAAAATGGCCAATCTCTGTCCCTTGGCAAACGTCCAGTGGCTTCAAGCCCCCACTTAGCCCAGATCAAGGTGGACAGGGACACTGGGGGCCCTGAAAGAACAGCAGAGTCCTACACTCAGACATGTGCTGTGGGTCACCTGTCCCCAGGCAGGGACACAGTGCCACAGACGAGGCGGCGCCCACCTGCCGGCCCGGAGTGCATGGTCCAGCCATGCCCCTCCCATCTGGTGGCTTGCCGGCTGGGTCTTGGCTGGGAGGTGGGATGTTGGGGGCTCAGATGGGCGTCCTCCAAGTGAGAGGCAGCTCATCAAACCTCGGGTGGGGAGGTGGCCCTTCCCAGGGTGGGGGCTTGGCAGAGGGCATCCCCCAAATAAGAATAGGGAGGGACTTTAGGATCAGGGAACATGTTTTAGGAAGGAGCAGCAGGGTGTGTGAAGTGCCGAGAAGTCCCTGTAGGTACAAGACTAAGGGCACGGTGGTTAGAGCTGCAGAGTCGGGACCCACACTGTCTGGGTGCAAATCCTGACTCTGCTGTGTGACCTTGGACAAGTTACACAATCTCTCTGTGCTTAACAGGCTTCATCTGCAATGCAGCATGGATAACAAAAGCCTCTTCTCATGGGCAGTGATGATCATTAAATGTGTTACTGCATCTCAGACACAAGTCCTGGGCCTTGTGGGCCCAGCTCATGTTGCTACTAAACTAAACAATGTTAACAAAACTACCAGTGTTGGACCAGAATGTTAACCCCGTTATCTTATGGATCTTTCTTTTTCTTTCCTTCCTCCCTTCCCTTCCTGTCTCTCTCTCCTCCCTCCCTCCCTGTCTCCCCTTCCCTCTCCCTGCCGCAGCGGGTGGTGGATGGCATAATGCTTTACACATCATCTGGGTTCAAATCCTGACTCTGCCGCTTGCCTCCTCTGGCACCTTGGGACCGCGTCTGGTCACCTGAGAAGGGGAATAATAATAGCAGGGGCTTTACAGGGTTGTGGGGAGTGTCAGAGGAGGCCATGCATGGAGCGGCAGGAGGTGGTGGGTGGTGAGCCCATAATTAGGTCTGTGAAAATAGAACTGTGGGTGGGTCTGCCTGCAGAAGGCATCTCTCCGGGGCAGATCCTCACCCCAGCCTGGGGCCCTTGCCAGCCTCTCCAGCAGCCCCAATAAACCAGAGGGACAGTGACACGCTCAAAACTCATGTGAGTGAGTGCGGGGTGCAAGCGTGCGGCTGTGTGCAAGTATGTGACCTGTGCATGTGTGTGTTGGGCTGGCCATGGGAAGTGGACATCAAAGGTGTCCTGGGAGAAATGACCACTGGGATGAGTTTGAGGAAGGACCAGGGGGAGGTTAGCATGAGGGAAGGGCAGAGGGCAGAGGGCAGGGGGCAGGAGGCAGGCATGGAGAACTGCCAGGTGTGCAGGGACCTGGACTGGGGAAACGGAAGCCAGTGGCTGGTGTGGCTGAGCAAAGAGACGAGCTTGGTGGGGGCACTGGGGGCTGATGTGGGGGACTGGGCATTGGGGCCCTGGTCCCTGGCTCTTCCCAGCAGACACCCACCCGGTGGCCGGACGTCCAAGTGGCTAAGCAAAGAGGCTCAAGGTCACACGTTCTGGGTTCAAGTTCCAGTTCTACTGTGTGTCCAGTGCATGACGTGGACTAACTACTGACCCCCTGGGAACCTCCATGGCCCCAGAGTTACTGAGCTCCCACTGTGCGCCGGCGCCTCACCGGCCACCGTTCTTCCTCCAGCTGAGCCAGGGTCACTCAGCCCCAGTGTGCTGAGGAGCAACCTGAATCGCTGGTCCGGGGAGCCCCCAGGCTCAGCCACCCTTCTGGCCAGCCTGGGCTAGGGCGCATCCAGGCGCAGGATTGCAACACCTCCGGCCTCCCCCAGGATGAGGAAAGGCCTGGTTTGAGCTGCAGTAAATCAGAGCCTGGCTGCACCGCATCCCAACGCTCAGAGAGGGGAGGCGACCTACCCGTAGTCACAGAGGAAGGAGGCAGCTGGTGACCCCCAAGCCAGTCTGGCCCCAAAGTCTGACCTCTTCAGCACATAGTCAAGCAACTTTAAACATGCCTTGGGCACAGAGGCAGAGGAGGCTGTGGAGGCCTGGTGATGGAGTCTCTGCACTTCCCAGCGGGACCTGGCTTAGAGTAGATGCCTGACAAACATTTAGGATCCGAAGACCCACTGTGCGCAGAACTGCCCCGGGAGCCTCACGGACATTATCTCATTTGGCCCTACCATGACCTCATCAGCTGGGAACTATCGCCGCCCCTGACAGAGGGGCAAACAGGCTCAGCAAAGTTGAGTCCTGGGCCGAGGTTGGCCAGGAAGCAATCGTCATGAGCTGATGGTGTTTTTGGTCCTTAGGCCTTGTTCAGAGCACCGTCCACACCCGTGCAGAGGCCAGCCCCCTACAGTGTGCGCCTCCCAGTTAGCTGCAACACTGGCCTCTGGGTCGCAGGCTGAACCAAATCACCCGTGGTCACTGAGCTCCTCGAGTCCCAGAGGCGCCCAGTGCCAGCAGCTGGAGCCTGACATCTCCCCTTCACCCTCGTTAGAACCCCGATCCCAGCCAGAGCCGCGACCGTGCAGTCCAGGGAACCTCTCTTGGGTGGTGAGCACCCCGTCACTGGGAGGATCCAAGCAGGGCTGCCATGGAGGAAGGCTCCTACTCAGGTGAGAGGACCCTGGAGCTGAGCCTGGCGAACGCAAGAGCCTTGACCTCCTGCCTCCCACCCAGGAGGAGGGTGGGGCCGGGGTCCCTCTGGGAAGAGGAGCCGGGGTGGCAGGGGCTGAGCCCTGACTGGCCTTCCAGGCACAGAGCCAGGTGGAGGGAGTCACGGCCCCTCCCTGCCCTGACTCAACACGTTATGACAACCATTGGCTCCTGCAAGAGCGCCTGGTAGATTGGGGGCCGAGCAGAGCAGGGCCTCTGAGCAAGTGGATTTCAGGCGATGAATCCTCCTGGCCAAAGCGAGGGGAGGGGGCCCGTGCCTGTGGTGGGGCGCCAAGGTAGGGTTTTGGGGGGGCCCAGGTGTTGGGGGAATCTGACATCTGGGGACAGGGCTGGGAAGGAGCTCAGACATGGGGAAAACTGAGACCCATGTGTTTAGAGAAGGGACCCAGGGTCGGGGGCAGGCGTCAGGGTGGGGGCTGGGGTCAGAGGGAAGCAGGACCCGGCTTTCTGGGGTGAGGCCGGGGATCCAGCGTTGGTGGGCAGTACCTGAACCCCGTAAAATGGGAAAGGGTACAGGCTAGCGCTGGGTGGGGGTTGGCCATCTAAAGAGGGGACTCACGGAGGAAGGGTCCCGGCTCCTGGTCCTGGGTCGTCTCTCTGGACTCAGGTGTGCTGATGCTGGGGTGCGGGCAGAGGGGACAGCAGACACTGGGCTGGACAGACTCGGAGATGCACAGATGCAGAAATGGGTGAAGGCCTGGGGTGGGGTGCTAGTAGGCACGAAAGATGGCAGTGTGGGGGGGAAAGTGTGCAGAGGAGGCTGGGGGTCCACTGGGACCCTCTGCTTCAGTGTGGGCTCTGGACAGGCTCCTGGGACTTTGGGGCTCTGGGTGATACAGAGTGGGGCAGAGCTGGGGCCCAGCCTCACCCCACACCCCTCGGTGCTCCCCCAACTCCCAGTGGAGTCTTCTAGGCTCCGCAGAAGGCGGCAGTGCTGTGGGCAGGGCATGCAGCTGGGGGTGCTGGCGCTGGTGACCGCGGCGCTGTGGGCCGGGCTGACGACCCTGCTTCTCCTCTGGCGTGAGGACACCCCCAGCCCCACGGGGTCCCCCTTCAGACCCTGGGAGCCCAGGTTCCCCATGTCTCCCCCTTTGCCCACACCTGTTCCACCACCCACCGAGAGCCCCCTCCCGTCAGCACCCCCGCCTCCCACCCTTCCCCACACGGTAAACCCCAGGCCTCCATCCCAGCTGGCCAGGGGGGTGTGGGTGGCGGGGGCCCTGAGAAGCCCTTCCTTCTGCCTCCTGCCTAGACTGGGATGGTGTGCGGAATCTGAAGCATCTGGAAGAGACGGCTGCGTGGAACAGTAAGGGGCAGACGGGGGTGTGGGGGGGCTAGGACACCTTGTCCTGCTTCTGTCCCTGAGCCCTGTGGGATGCACTGAGCCCCAGGGTCCCCTCCCCAGGAACCGAGGGTCAGCCTGGGCGCCCCCTCCCTGGGGCTGCAAACCCAGCGGCTCCGAGATTGGGGTGGGCTCTGAGAGGGGCCTGAGGGAACCGCACGTGCCTCGGCGTCCTTGCCTGAGAAATGGGCAGAGTCGGGGCTGCGAGGCAGGAACGAGCCGAGACCTGAGACGCACTCAGAGCCGTGTCCCGCGAGCTCCCGAGAAATGCCCTCTGCTTTCACATTTCGTTCTGGGTCGGGGGAGGGTGCAGGGGTTCTTTCTATTCTTGCCTGCGGTTCCCAGAGTCCCTTGGCCCCCAAAATAAAAAAGCAAAAGCCGCAGTGTGGGTGGCGGTCCTGCCCGTGGGGCCGGGGGTGGGGTGGGCTCAAGGACCGGCCTTCCCGCCTCCCAAGGACGTGTCCCTGTCCTGCTGCCCCAGTGTCTCAGGTTTCCAAGGATGTGAGCAGACAGAAGGGTGACCAGAAGACCCAGAAATCCCTGGGTGAGTGGCCTCAGCTGGGGTCTTGGTGGGGGGCCTGGATTAACACCTGGGCACAGTGTTCCAGGTCATCGGTCAGTTGCCACTGGGGGGGACACGAGGGTAGCCCTGAGGATGTCCTCCCGCCTGAACCCCCTTCCCTGCAACCAGCTGCCCAGATGTCACAGGACATGGAGAGAATCCAGGCGGAACAGGAGAGGCTGAAGGCTCAGGGTGAGAGATGGGGAGGGGCGGGCTCCAGAGGTCGGGAGACGGAGAGGCCGGGACGCCATTCCCAACCCCCGTCCTGCTCCCACCCCACCCGCATCAGGCTCTGAGCTCTCGCAGAACCTGGACGGACTTCTGGAGGACCTGAGCAGCCTCAAGTCCCAGAGTGAGCCTTGGGAGGGGGCCGGGAGGCGGGGAGGCAGGGGCCCTCAAGTGCCTCTCCGACCCCTGCCCCCACCCAATCACCCCAGGTTTGAACGAGAGGCGCACAGACTTGGGTTCACTGGAGAGACTCCAGGAGGAGGTGGCGAGGCTGTGGATAGAGCTGCGCATGTCCAACGGTGAGTGCCTCTGCGCCCCACACGTTGGCGGGTGCATGTGCCAGCACAGGTGTGTGGAGTGGCTCAGGTGTGCGGTCGAGGCGTGTGCGTGACAGCATGGATGGCGTGTGTGTGTGTGTGTGTGTGTGTGTGTGTGTGGCGGGGCGCATGGGGGACACGCCTCCCTCCACAGAGCTGGGGTGAGGGCTCCCACACCTTCCCCCCAGGTGAAAGCAGACCTGTGTTTGCCATCGCCGGGGCCTCTTTGCTGCTCTGGCCGTCGCAGCTCAGCAAAGGGTCAGCAGTAGGATGTCCACAGCCCTCCCGGAAGATTGTTGACCCAGCCAGGGGGCCTGAGGGGGTCACCTCCATGCAAAGGGCAAGACTTAGGTGCTGCTGCCCGTTTTGAGAGCCACAGGGGTGCCCCGGCAGGAAGAGCAGACAGTGGTTAACCTTTAGCCTGAGTAGGAGCCTGGTGTACTGCCCCGAAGTCCCCCACCCCACTCACCCCTGCTTTGGGGCCTTCCACCTCTGGGAAGCCCCAGCTGCCCCAGTTTGGCCATGAGAAGAGAAGGCTCCGCGCTGGGTGTGAAGGAGCTGTGCCCTGGGATGGGGTGTGGCTGCGGGAATCCCAGCAAGAAACCCCTCTGGGGTCCCCAGGGGAAGGAGGGAGGAGGGCTCTGGGCCTGCCCACGCCTGCAGATGGCCTCCCGATTCCTACCCAGTCCCGGTGGCCTGGGGACTGAGCCCTGTCCCAGGGCTGTCTCTTGGTGACCGTGTGACACGCGGCCACGGCACCTTCCCCAAGGTTTTCTGTGCCCACAGACGGTCCCTTCCTGCTTTAGCACAGTGCACCGGTTACTCATCGCGTGTGAGAAGCACCTCCGGCTCTGCCCCGGGGACCCCAAACCACTGTGGACCCCAGGCCCCTTTAAGAGAGCCCACCCAAGCTGTGGAGCCCTCCCTGTGTGCAGGTCCCTTTAAGATAATCTATTTTAAATCAGGAGTGGGTTTAACCTCCCACCTGTGGGTGCTGGTGGGCGTGACAGTGCCCGAGAGTGTCCCTGGGGTGGGCGGAAGGGGAGAGAGAGACACCCCGGAGGCCCAAGGTCGAGGCCGTGGGGACCCAGCCTTCCAGCCCCTCCCCAGCTTGTGGGCTCTCCTGCCCATTCCCTCCAACGACAAGAACATCATTTCAGTTTCCCAAAAGTGGCCCAGAGTGCTGGCCTGGGGGTGTCGGCAGCCAGGGTTAGGGAGGGTCCTGGTGGTCTGGGCCTCAGCAAGGCGGCCTGGGGGTTACAGGCGGGGTGGTTGGGTAAGGATGGTGCTGGCCATGCTGGCGGTGGAGACGGTGGTGGTCTTGGGTCTGTGGCAAAGGTCTGCTGACAGCAGGGGCACTCATGGCCGTGGTTTTGGGGGTTGACATCTGTGAAGGTGTTCATGGCGATGCCACTGGTGGTTAAGGTGCTGCGGGGGGCTGGTGACGTGGTCTTGGCGCTGGTGGTTGGAGGCCTGCAGCCACGGGTTATTTATGGTGATGGAATGGTGGCTGAGAGGCTCCTGCAGGCAGGTGGGTGCTGCATGGCAGCCTCAGAGCTCCGGGGATGAGGGCTGCCTGCAGGCTGTCTGTTAGGCTCTGGGGTGGGTCTGCTTTCAGCCTGGAAGAGAGAGACGCTGCAACCCACTCTGCCCACTGTCCCCACGGTGCCAGCCACAGCGCTTACCACGGTGCTAACCACAGAGCCCGCCACAGTGCCAGCCACGGCGCTCACCACAGCGCTAACCACAGAGCCCACCATGGTGCCAGCCATGGTGCTCACCCCAGTGCCTGTCACAGCGCTAAACACAGAGCCCACCACAGTGCCAGCCATGGCATCTGCCACGACAACCACCACAGCTGCCCCCCTGAGCTTCTCCTCCACCCCAGGCTCCATGTGTAACACGTGCCCCGAGAAGTGGGTCAATTTCCAGCGGAAGTGCTACTACTTCGGCGAGGGCCCCAAGAAGTGGATTCAGGCCCGGTTTGCCTGTGAAAACCTGCAGGGGCGGCTGGTCAGCATCCACAGCCGGGAGGAGCAGGTGGGCCTGGCTCTGCGGAGGGACGGGGGCGCTGGTCCCCACCCCGACCTCCCGCTCGGCGGGGCACCCAGGCCCATCCCCCAGCCCTCCAGCCCCGTCCTGCTCCCCAGGCCTTCCTCACCAAACACGCCAGCAGGAAGGGCTCCTGGATCGGCCTTCGGGACCTGGACATAGAGGGGGAGTTTATTTGGATGGACCAGAAGCCCCTGGACTATACGTGAGGAGACGTGGCCCCAGGCCCAGACTCGGGGGGGCTCTGTGAAGAGAGGGGAGGGTATTTGGAGGTGTGGCCCCAGGCCCGGACTTGGGGGAGCTTCTGGACTGCACTGGAGAAGGGGGGACAGGGCTTGGGGGGCAGGCGCAGGTTAGGGGGAGGGCCCAGGGAGGGTCTGTCTGGGCTGCAGGGACGGGTAGGCAGGGCCCAGAGTCACAGGTGGCGTGAGGCTCCCTCCCGACCCCTGACCTGCCTTCTGCTCCAGCAACTGGCGGCCAGGGGAGCCCAACAACCAGGCCCTGGGCGAGGACTGCGTGATGATGCAGAGCTCCGGGCAGTGGAACGACGCTTTCTGCGGCAGCCGGCTGGACGCCTGGGTGTGTGACCGGCTGGCTGCGTGCTGACTGCCCGCCGCCTCAGCGCACCTGGGCCCGCTGGGATGAGCTCCCGCACTGGGCCCTGGCAGATCCCCGCCCACCTGCCAGGTGCTCCCCTCCGCGTCACTCCCCACCTTGAACACGGGGACAGCGGGGCCCACAGTGGGACCCTGAAGACGCCCGACTGAGGCCGCATGCCTCTCTGGTGGTTAAAGGTCCCCATGACGTTTTCCCCACCCAAACGGAGGCAGCCGACCCATCCCCAGCCCCACCCCCACCCCCGCCACTGCCCCAGGAGCCTGTCCCTTGCTTCTCAGCCCGGCCGGCACTACCACCTCCCTGCCCTGAAGAGCTCAGAGTTCCCACTCCGAGAACCTTCCAGGGGTCAGCAGGGGTCACCTCGGACCCCGGTGGGCTTCCTCTGCCACCCCCAGCTCACCGTCTGCTGGAGTCAGGCGCGGATGACCCCCAGCCACCAGCCGCAGCCCTGGTGTCTCCTCAAGGCTGGGCTGGAGGCACCTCCTAGTATGGGGAACTCAGCATCAGCCCTTGTCCCCTATGTCATTGCAAGAAGCATTTACTGTGCAGGACTGGAGATGAAGCCTCGGGGGCCCAGGGGAGCAGAGATCTCCCCCAGACCCCCGGGGATATTGCAGGGCAAGGCAGGGGACCCAGCTGAGCCTGGTCCCCCAGGCCTGGCTGCTGGGGAGAGGCGAGGAGGTGACACAAGGCAAGTGCTCAGAGTGGGCCCGGTGCGCAGTGGGTGCTTAGTAAGTAGATGCTGCAAAAACTGACCCTGCGGCCCATTCAGGTCTGGAGGAACCGACCCTCTCCTGCCAGCCGCTGGGGAGGCCTCTCCCCGAGCTCCCCCGCCCTCCCGTCTGAAATGACAGTCCCTTCTCCGGATCCCTTTTACCCCCTGTGCTGTCGCCACGGTGCTGTCCTTCTGATGAAAGGTGTGATTTACTGGGGTGAGAATGGGAGCGTCAGGAGGGCAGGCACCTGTTTTGTTTTCTGCTGCATCCCCAGCGCCTGGTGTACAGTAGGTGCCCTGAAAATAAACGTCTGTGGAATTGGCACGTGGCCATGGGGAAATGACCTCTTCTCTCCGAACCTGTGGAATGGGATGCTGCCTGCCTGGCTTGGCAAGGGCCCCAAAGGATCCTGGCTCTAGGTTATTTTCTGAAGGAAACACGAAATGCTTATTGAATGGACAGAGTCTCTGATCGGGGTCTGGGGTTGAGAGAGGAAACACAGAACCCGACTCTTGTCCCTTGTCCTTCCTGGAAGCCACTGGAAGCTGGCACTGTGAAAATACTCTATTTATTAAAGACTGGAGGGAGGCAGGGCTCCCGATTCTCTATGGGACCAAGTCCTAGCTCCAGGGAGGAAAACTTGGCCACCCAGGAGGGGTCACAAGTCAGTGGCCGGGCCCCAGTCCAGGCCATCTCTTCATCAGAGGACTCCACATCTTGGGCTCCTGTAAACTTTTTCCTCAGAGCTTCCTGCTCACAGGTCCTGGGCATCAGGAATAGAGGCTGTGGGTGGGGAGGGTGTGAACTTACCTACCAGTGCTTGCGGCCGATTCTGTGCTATGGTGTGGACAGAGATGAGTAAGACTGAGCATTTAGGGGTCAGGCCCTATTTATTAAAACAAAAAACTCCTATAGATCCTTCAAAGCCCCAGAAAAGGCAAGGCAGGAACAATGTAACAAAGTGCAAAGAAACCCCTACCAAAACTCCCTGTTAAACATTAAGCAAAGTCAGAGTCACATAGATTCTCTAGGGTAGAAATACCAAACTAGGAATATAGGCATTCTTCAGTAAGATTAGTTAAAACTAAAAAGCCAGGAGTAACTTGGCCTGGAATGTTTAAACATCCCCCAGATAAGAAAATACTTCAGCATAGCCCATGTCTTCATTGTGTCAATTAAATCATGCTAGTGCAAGGCTTAACATTAGCCTGCTAAAAGGCCCAGCTTATTTTTTTAACTTTACCCAGATGCTGCTTTTCCTCTTCTAGCCCCAATAAACTAATTTGTAACCTGGGCAATTGATTTAGCAAGCAAGCCTAGTCATAAACAACATAGTAAAAACAGGAAGGATTCCATCGTAAAGATAAGATTGCATTTTTAAAACCCAAGAAGTTAAAAAGTAAGTTTCTTAACATCTCTTCAATAAACTGACAATAACTCAGCCCACCTTGGGAGCAGGGCAGGCAGTCCTGATTGATAGGATCCCAGACCAAGAAGCTGCTATCCCAGGGGGGAATCAGAGCAGCAAATTTCTTGTGTTAAGCTAACTTTGCAGAACAGCCCAGAGGACTGATAAAAAACTTAATGTCTCTTCAAAGATGCATTTTGGGACCACTTAGCAGGTCAGCATCCCTAGCCCTTTGTCTCAACTGCCTATAAATCCCCTAGACAATGCACCACCCTGGGGCTCTCTTATCCTCTCGCTTTATCTCTAAATAAAAGCCTCTCCCTGGCTCTCCTGTCTTAAGTGTTTGCTAAATTCATTCTTCAACTCTGCGAACAAGAACCCCGGCATCAATATGTCAGTTTATGGCAAGAGATGATTCAATCTACAGCCCTCTTTTATAATACATCCAAATGAATTCCAGATGAATTAAAGTCAGACATTAAAAAGACAACATAAAAATAGTAAAAAAAAAATCAGTCATTCTGCATACATAAGGGGTGAAAGTCATGATATCCAAAGAAAAAATATAAATACTTGAAACAAATTTAAAAGCTAAAATGTCATAAATATTCATATTTGTAATAAAAGATGAAAGAAATACCAACTGGGAAATGTTTTCAGTACTATTATAGAGAAAGAGTGGCATCATGAATATTCTTAAAATTCTTATAAATCAAAAGCAAAATATGAATGTAAATCCCTCTCCTCTGACGCTAAATGCAACAGTGTGTTTTTTTCTCTACGTATATATATTAACAATAACAATATTATACATGGCAGTAATAGTAGTATAACTCTATTTGGGTTCCTGAACTGATTCTAATGTGTGTAAGTATGTGGGGTGGGGGTGGGGCTTCTTCCCCCACACACAACACCAAGCAATTTTCAAACATCAGCAGGATGTCCAAGAACTCAACTCAATTCTGATGCTACCTGCCCGGAGGCTCTGATGCTACCTGCCCGGAGGCTCTGACGCTACCTGCCCGGAGACAGCACTCTTACAGGGCTGCCCTCCAACCCCCACTCCAGACCCCGGTCACAAGCCCCAGGCAGTTCCCAGGGCTTCTGACCCACCAGCTACAGATTGGAGGTTCTCACGACCTCCCCCTTGGGTTTGACTAATTCTCTAGAGCTGCTCACAGAACTCAGGAGAACACTTATGCTCATCAGTTTAATAAAAGATGCCATAAAGGATACAGGTTAACAGCCAGAGGAAAAGAGACATAGGGAAGGTCCCAAATAAAGGAGCTTCTCTCCTCATGGAGCTGGGGGCCTGGCTGGGTGGTCTGTGGAGGTCTCCTGGCTCCCTCCCCAAGCATGGAAGCCCTCTCCGACTGAGAGGCAGGATCCTCTGGGGCACAGCGGGACGAGCAGAGTCCAGAGACAGAGAGACAGAGGCGAGAGACAAGCTGCTCTCAGAGGTGTTTGTGAATGAGGACATCATTGCATAATCATGATTGACCCAATTATTGGCCACTGGCTGATTCAGCCTCCAGGCCCCCGCCCTTGGGGTGGGGGTTCAAAAGTCTCTCATTAATATGACAAAACACCTGTTTTACCTTTAAGACCATAGTGTTTTAAGGAACTGTGGATGAAGACCAAATATACCTGGGAAATATGTATTTGGTCACCTGAACGACCAAATATGTATTTCCTTATGACTCATTATATTGCAATAAAAAATCCAATACAATATACAGGGGCTATGCACAGAAAGTTACAGAGTTATAAACACAAATGCCTAATAAAGATATGAAAACAGTATAGATCCTCAGACCCAGGATGGATAGTAGAAATGGATGTACTTATTAACGAGCAAAATTACTGTTTTGGTTTCTTAACTTACTAGCTGAGGCATATTGCTGGGTAAAGGTCAAAGGGCTACTTTTAGAACTATTCCCTAAAACAGTAGTCTGGAAGCACTACCTAATTCATGGAGGAATTTCAGAGATTAGTACAGCTATAAAAATACTGAAAGATGTAAGGACCTCTTTTATTGATTTATTTTTTTAGGAGAGCCAGGGAGACTTTTATTGAGAGATACAGTGACAGGACAGTCAGAGCTCCTGGCTTGTGCCAGGAGGGGATGAGAGAGCCCCGTAAGGACTTCTTAAAAAGTCTTTCTCTGAAGACATTAAGGGACCAAATGTAATATAATATTTCACAACTGCTGTCTTGATCCTATTTAAAAGTCATGGCTAAGCAGTCAATTCCCCTTCACCAAACTGTCCATAGACCAGGTACCACACAATTAGGGGCATTTCCTCTGCCCCCAACCCACTGAATTATTCAAATTAATTGAGCACATGGAAGCCTGCAAAATCTAGTTCACCCCACTCTACTCACCATACATGTGCCACTACCTACAGTTTCAGCTTGCTGTCACCCTGTCCCCTGGTACAAGCCAAGTGTGGCCTGACCTGCTTTCCTTCTCTGGTTTAGGGGCCCTTAAGTAACAGCAGATCTGCTTTACATCTGTTCTGATGTTTGTGTGTGTGTGTTGTGTCCCACCATGAAAAGAATCTTTAAAACTTGTAAAACACAACCCATCAAAAATGAATTTTTAGATTTCTGTTTATAAATTGACAAGTAATACCATCCCATCTCAAACTGGAAATATTTCTCTGAAATGGGCAGCTTATTAAATGCATTAGCAGTTTTTGCCCATTCTGTTCTGTACATGAAGAGTTGTCTGGCCGACCCCAAATTTATATGTTTTTTTTTTTCTTAATTCAGTTGCCTTAGGGAACACAGCCATGACATTTCAGAGTCCTCTAGGAACATACTCAAAAACTGATCTAAAATAAATCTCTTTCCAGTATAAAATGAACACCTGGAAATTTTAATAAACACAGCTCATGTTTTGTGGGTGTTTTGCTAAGAGTTTCTGCACTGGGAGTAGGATTCTGTTAAAAACAAGACAACATGATGGGGGGAGTCTAGTAAACATAATGTTCCTCATGCAATTGTAGATTAATGATATCAAACCAAACCAAACAAAACAAGACAACAGACCCAAAATGGAGTGACCGTATGCTAAGTTCTGAGTCACCAAACTCACAGCTAAATTACAGCCTGTGGGTAAAATTGTAATATTTCCAAAAATATCTTGCCAGGCTTTAGTGCATCTGCATATCAACAGGCGTTCCTCAGGGGGGGGAGAATTTGTTCTTTTCCATATCAGTGGGTAATTACCTGGGCACCCGAGGGCTTATCTGAACCTGAGAGGTTAGGGGGAGGTCTTGCCTGCTTTTGCCTGAGCAGGAAAGAGAAGGCCCCGGACTGCAGTTTGTAAGCAATAAACGGGGTTTAAGTTTTATTTCTCCCTCCGACTGATTTCGGTTTTAGAGGTATTTTGCCCCCGGATTTCCTTTCCCCGAGTTACACGGCCATTCGCATCAACTTAAATCAGTCTATCTGGACTTGCCTGATACCTGAGGTGACCTTGCCTCAACCAATCTGCTTTTTGTGGTGTGTCTTCCTCGGTCCTGCTCCCCTCTGCCTAGAAAATTCTTTCATTTTGTACAGCTCCGAGGAGTTCTGGCGCTGAATGGGATGCAACCCGATTCATGAATTGTTGAATAATGCCAATAAGATCTTTTAAATTGACCCCGTGTAATTTTTTTGTTTTAAAACAATCCCTACTTTTCACCAGCTCGGAGCTCTCAGGAAGCGGGGGGATTTCCTGGTTAAAGTCTATCCAGTAAAAAGTGTGGATTTAGATGAGGAGAAACTTTATTCAAAATGACTGTTGTAACAGGGACTGGGCTTGGATCTCAGAGATCTGCAAGCACCTCAACCCAAACAAAAACGGCTTTTCTTACCCCCCCCGCCCCCGCCCCCCCGAAAGAGGGGCATGGGCGGAAGTAGACAGGGACCTGATGGCGGGACCAGCCAGGTAGGACAGGGCAGGGCCTTCGGAGTGACCCTGGGGCGTCTCCAGGCTGGTTCAGATAATGTGGGAAGTTTGATGACATGGGGTAAAAAATGGGACTTGAAGAACCCTAGGTCAAACCTCAGAGGTGGGGGCATGGATGGGGGGGGGCTCCTGGTGTCAGAGTCACACATCAAAACCTAGCCAGACCCTGCCTTGCCCGTGGCGACATTACTGTTGAGTCTTTGTTCTTAAAAGGACACCCATCGTGACCCCGCCCTCGTACGACCCCTGGCCCCAGGGGTCACCAGGCCCTCCTGCCCCGTTCAGGCTCGGTCGGACAAGGGGGGCTCGGAGGGGAAACTGAGTCAGGGTTTCGCGGTCCAGGAGGAGGAAGCAGGTGGGGCGTCGAGCTGCGGGCATAAGACGGGTCCAACCGACCGAGATGGGGGTCTGCTGGGAGCCGACAACCCGGGCGGACGAGTCCCAGTCGGAAAGTAGGCCGGGCACGGGAGGCTCAGACCGAGAACCTGCGGTTCCATCCGGCTCAGCTACGTGCCCTCGGCCTCGGCCCATCACTCTTGCGGGGGGACTACAACACTGTCCAATCAGGAACGACGGAGGCGGTGCCCGGGAAACTGGCCGATTCAGTGACAGAGGGAGGGCATGGACAACCATTCAATCAGGGCCAGGGCATGCCTGAGCATCGTCCAATCAGAAACCCAGAATGCCTGACGCACCATTCAAACACAGGGCGGTGTCCGGAGCATCACCCAATGAATGGATTCGGGGGCGTGGCCTTGAGCCTTGTCCACTCAAGGGCGGGGAAAGGTCTCCGACCACCGCCCAATCAGGGCCCCAAGAGGAGGAGCACCCGGATCACTGTTCAATCAGGGCACGGGAGCCTAAAGCCTCGTCCAATCAGGGTCGGGGGCGGACGCGCTCTGCCGCGTGGAAGTCGCTCTGCACTGCGGTGTCTACCTTGCGCACCTGCCCCGCGCGCCCCCGGGTGGGCGGTCGGTGTGGCTCTTACCTGCGGGGGCAGAAGGGCGGTGGGGCCGCGGGAGGGACCCCCGGAGAGCCCAGAGCGGCCGCGAGATGGTGAGTGCTCGGGGCCAGGGCCGGGAGGGGCTGGGACAACTGGCGGGAACCGGCTGGAAGCGGTCGTGGCTCGACTTTGCCCGCCCCACCGGGGGCCCGAGCCGAGGCTCCGCCCCGGGCCGTGGGTGGGGTTTGCCGTCCTGTCCTCTCCCCGCGTGGGGGTCCCGGGAGCCATGGGAAAGGCCGCGATTAGATGCTTTGGTCTGTCAGCTCTGCCCCATCCTCTTAAAAAGGGGGAAATGCTGAACGTGGAGCTAATGATGGATCATGCGAAGGGAGGAAGCCTCCTTAAAAATCCCAACTGTAGGAGGTTCGGACAGCTTCCAGGGTGGTGAGCAGGTGGAGGTGCCCTCCGCATCGCTTCCGTCCGGTGTTCTTCTCTGTCCTTCCCCACATTCCTTTAATAAAGCGGAAAACCTGTTTCCCTGAGTTCTGTGAACCGCTCAGGAGCATAAATCCGAGGAGGGCTTGCGGGGACCTCTGATCCGCGGGCGGTGGGCCGGGAGCCCAGGTGGCAGCCTGCGCCTGTGCCTGGTGTTGGCGGCAGGTGTGTGTTTTGGGGGCTGGGGGCAGGCTGGTGGGACTGAGCCCTCCCCTGTGGGACCCGACGCCGCCTCTCGGTGGATGGTTTGAGGGTGGGCCCACCGCCAGCTGCTGGTGTGGGGGTAAAGCTCCCCACATTTGGCGACCAGCAGTGTCAGAAGCGAAGGGTCCTCCGTGAAGGTGCAGGAGACAGACACGGGGAAGGAACGCACAGTAGGGAGGGAAGGACTGGGATTTTCCCCGCAAAGAAGGAAAAACTAGGATTTCACTGAACTTGGCTTCACCCCCTCAACCCAGGCTTTCCTCCAGAAGGTGGTCGTTGCTGACCCGTTTTAGCTGCCAGTTTATGGCTCTGCGCTTTTTAAAGCTGTTCTCTAATTTTTTTTTTTCCTCACCTGTTAGGGTACCAAACGCTGCAAGCTGCCACGTGATGGTGTCCTGGGCTGTGACTCTTCCCAGGAAATCGCTATTAAAGTGGCTTTGGGGTTGCTGTGTTCACCCTGTGTTTAAAGGACACTGCCTGAGTTTCCAGAAGCTTTCGTCTCCGTTAGACATAGGAATAGGCTCCTCGTCTCAGCTCTTGTTCCTTGTTGGGATGCGTCCCAACCCTGGCAGTTGGTGGCCAAGGCACGTGGGGCCCTGGGCACCTGACTAAACCGTATTATTTGAAAATGTCCTTTTCTTCCTGTAACCATACTAAGAACTGAAATTGATTCTTGAATTTTATAGCTTTAGCCAGCACTCAGGTTAAGCTCAGTTAAAACATTTGAATAATTTTGTCTGTAGGATTTGGAGGTTTCTAAATACGAAATCTTAATACCTGTTCGTAATGAAGTTCAGTTTTTTTCTCTCTGCAAATCTTTCGTCCCCTTTCTTGTTTTCTGTTATTCCCCCGGCGAGGCCTTCACGGGTGTCGGGTTGCGTGTTTGGGGCCCTCACCTCCTTGCTCCTGATCTCCGCGGGAAGGGTTTTAACATGTCACTGTTAAATAGGAAGTTGGCGCTAGGTTTTCTTTAGACCCCGTTTCTTTTCTGATTATGTTTCCCTTCTAGTCTTTAAGTTGTGTGGTCATTAATGAGGACTGATGGAGACAGGCATGCCTTCAGCATGTATGGTTTGCAAGCCTGCGGTTTTGATGCTGCTTTCATGTGTACAACACAGTGATTCATCAATTACAGCCATTATTAAGTCCTCACCCCAATTAGTGTCGTTACCGTCTGTCAAATAGGAAGATACTGCAGAACTACTGGCTGCATTCTCCATGCTGCACCTGAAAGGGTATCTCGCGGCGACCCGCCTTACCCAGAACGACTCAGGAGACACGGGCCCACGCAAGAGATTTTATTATCTGAAAGAGAAAGCAGCTGCCGCAGCCGGGGGAGGGGGGAGGGAGAGGGAGCAGCAGCGTGGTGCGGACAGTTGTGCCTTTCATTGTGGCGGATCCGCTTGGCCTGTTGCCTTGCGGGAGGGTCGGATGTTTAGAGAGAAGGTGCGGCAAGTCCAGGCACCATTGTCACCGGCTTCTGTGCCTGGGACCATGGGGTAAATGGAAGATAAATTACTATTTTCTTATAGCACTTCCATCCCCTTGGCCAACTAGCATTATGATTTGAGGTTTTGTGCCCCGTTATCCACCTCATCTCCTCTCCCACGCACCCTAATATGTTTTGACATGAGCGGGAAAATTACGCTCATGGAAGAATCGGAATGTGACCCGCTTCGCCTTCCTGGAGTGAAATCGACACGTTGGCCTCATATGCTGTTTGAACACTTCTGTGTTAGATTTCCTTTTTAAAAAAGCTGTGAAGAATTTTAAAAAGGAAACCTCATTTAAGATGAAGTCAGGAGGCCGGCAGAGGTCAAATTACTTGCAGTTGTATTTTTAAGTTTAACAAAGCCTTTTGCCTTTCTACTTAGGAATGTGGTGATCTTTTAATAGTCTCGGAATTGTCTCTTTCTGGTCTTGGTAATACTCTGCCATTTCTTTCTACAATTTGGAATCAGAGTTTTGAATATTTGGTACCTGGGCGAGGAACCTTTTGCGATTTGCATTAGGAGTATAGGGATGTATGAATCTACCGCTTTCATTCCTTTAATGAGCACAGACATCCTCAGATGTTCCGTTTCCTGGCATAATCACTGTTTCCTGGTTTCTATACATCTATTCTATTGCATCTAATTAAAAACAAGTCTTTTCCCACAAGCGGTTTGTCGTATCTCCTTGTAACATCTCTGACACCAAATGCAATGGTGTATTTTTTTCCTACATATATGTATAACAGTAACAATATATTACATAGTAGTAAATAGTAGTGTAACTTCATCCGGGTACCCAGACCCAATTCCAATGTGTGTAAGTATGTGGGAGGGGGTCTTCCCACACGTATTTACACCAAGCAATTCTCGAACACCAGCAGGGTGTCGGAGAACTCAACTCGATTCTGATGCTCTTTGCCGGGAGCAGCAGCAGGTTCCCAGGTGAAGGGCTCCGACCTACAGGACTGCCCTGCACTCCTCACTGCAGACGCCAGTCGCAAGCCCCGGTGCTTCTGAACCACCGGCTACAGATTGGAGGTTCCCACGACCTCCCCCTTAGGTTTGATTAATTTGCTGGCAGTGGCTCCCAGAACTCAAGAAAACACTTACATTTACCAATTTAATAAAGGACAACACAAAGGATACAGGTTAACAGCCAGATGAAGAGAGACACAGGGCGAGGTCCCAAATGAAGGAGCTTCTGCCCTCGGGGAGCTGGGGGCCTGGCTCTGGGCACGTGGAGGTGTTTTTTGGCTCCCCAAGCGTAGAAGCCCTCCCACCAAGCAGCAGGACCCAACCGAGCAGAGAGGGCAAAGCAGGGCTAGAGGTAGAGGGAGAGAGACAGAGAGGAGAGACAGGGAGAGGGGCAGAGCTCTAGAGAGAGGAGACGGACAGGGGAGGCTGGACGGGGGGAGAGGGAGGGCTCTTCTCAGGGGTTTTGTGAGGGCGTCATTGCACAGTCATGATTGACTAAAATACCGGCCACTGGCTGATTCAGCCTCCAGCCCCGCCCTTGGGTGGGGTCCAGAGGTCTCATTAACATGAGAAAACACCTGTTTCACCTTTAGGACTGCGGTGTTCTCAGGAGCTGTGGATGAGACCACATATACCTGGGAAATATATATTTGGTCATAAGAATGTCCAAACTGCTTGATGTCGGAAACTTGTACTTTTGTTCACTTTTCACAGTTTCATTTACCCAACCTCATGTTGTTTTTGAATCAAATTGCCCTTAGTTTAAGAACAATATACTCCTAGGTCATCAAAATCTATTTTTTGAACATCTTTAATGGAGATATAATTTATACACCATAAAGTTTACCTGTTCAAAATGTCACAGTCAGTGGTATTTGGTCTGTTTAAAGATATGTGCAATCATCTCTTTATTCTCACGTTAGAGTACACATATCACTGCAGAAAACGTATTTGCTGGAAGTCACTCCGGTTTCCAGTGTACCCCCTCCCTGGATTCCAGGCAAATTATTAATCCACTTTTATAGATTTGCTGATTCTGTACATTTCATATGAATCATATACTATGTGTAACCTTTCGTGAAGTCTGTTGATGTTATTAAGGCCCATTGATTTTGTGCCATGTGTCAGTACTTCATTTTTTTTTAGTGCCAAAGGATATTCCATTGTGTGAATATACCACATTTTGCTCATCCAAGTCAGTTCGTGGACTTTTGAGTTGTTACCACTTATTGGTTATTATGAGTCGTGCTGCTGTGAGTATCTATATTAGTTTTAGTGTTGATACTTGTTTTAGGTTTTCCCAGGTAGAGACTTAGGAGTGGAATTGCTGTTTAAGGGAACTCTGTGTTCAACATTTTGAGGAATTGCTAGACTCTTCCAAAGCAGCTGCAGCATTTTACTTTCCCACTGGCAACGTACAGCACTTCCAAATTCCTCCCGTCCTCACCAGCAGTTATTTGTCTGTATCCATCCTAGTGGGCGTGAAGAGGTATCTGCCTGTAGTTTCAATTTGTATTTCCCTGATGACTAATGTCTACCCTGTTTTCATGAGATTACTGGCCATTTTTATATCTTCCCTGGAGAAATGTCTGCTCACAGTATTTTCCCAAGACTTAATTGTATTATTTGTCTTTATGTTGTCCTTTTTTTCATTATCATAGGAGTTTTAAAAAATATCCTTGGAATACAAGTCTCTTGTCAGGTGTGTGATCAGCAAACACCATTTGAAGTAGCATTGCTCCTTTCTAGCTGATGAACTTGGGATTTCTTTCCTTTAGAATGAGAATCGAATCTATTTTTTGTTTAAACAATTTCTGATTCCCCCCTGACAATTGTTTGCTGTTTATTCACGGGCGTGGTGTCATCCCGTACTGCGGTAAAGATACCGAGAGTAGGTGTTCCTTTCTCTCTGTTAAAGTCGCCTTTGGCTCTGTTACCTTCGGCTCCTTCGGGACCCACCTTTGTCTCTGTGGTGCCATTCCCTCTGATTCTGAGAACTTGGTTATTTATTGGATAGGGCCTGTTGGCTTTCCAGATTCTTCCAGAACCAGGCACTCATCTTACACAGTAGGTGTGCCAGGCCCCCGGGGTCTGGCCTCTGTCACTGCCCGTGGTGACCACCTAATCCTGGGAGGGGTCAGGTCTCTGTCTCTGTTGGAATGAGGGGACTAGACCAGGCACCTTAGCATTTGAACACTTTCAACGGGAGAGCTGTCCACGTCCGCCAGCACTGGAATCTGTGTCCGTGACATCCTGACCTTCTGATTCCAGTTCTTGGAGCTGAGAAGGAAATAATTTTTTCAATGAGCCAAGTATCAATTCTGTATTATCTGAATGAGGGCATCATTTTTCAGTCTTTACCATACCTCGGAATCTGCTCTCACTAAAAATTATCCTTGTAAACATTGTGTGTTTAGGTTTTTATTAGTTGTTTTCCCATTTTGCTTTAAGTTCCCAAGCACTTACCGTCTCTGAGTGTATTCCATTTGCTTTTCTTGCTTATTGTCATTTCCCCATGAGTGTGTGAGCTCAGGAGGCCTAGGAGGTGACGCCAGGTCCCCGATGGTCAACCTCCCCCACCCTCCCGCACTGGTGAGGTGGTGTCTTGCTGAAACAGGATATGCGGGGTGTTTCAGGCCTCGGTGGTCTTTGAGGACGTGGCCGTGGACTTCACCCCAGAAGAGTGGGCGCTGCTGGATCACACTCAGAGGGGGCTCTACAGAGACGTGATGCTGGAGACCTGCCGGCACCTGGCCTCTGTGGGTAAGGACGGCTCCCTCCCTTCAGCTAGTCCTTTAGAGAACCAGGATCTCCTAAGATTGCCCTTCCTTTTGGGCCAAGGAGTGGGAATTCATTATAGGAAAGAAAGACGTGGTCTGTGACTTCATGGAATGTATCTACAGTCAGTCAGCTTTTCCATGAACACAACATTTGAATGTTCCTTTGACTCTCTGTTTCTCTTGATGCGTGTCTGAGACTGCATGAGTTTATGTGTGAGCATGGTCTCCCGCGTCGCTTTGGGGAAGTGAGAGCTGTTTTATGTTCTTCACCCCCGTAAGTGTTACACTGAGGTCCATCCACATTTGACACAGTGATCTTTCTGCAGTGAAATACACACTTACCCATCGCCAGTGGCCTTGAAGACCAAAGTAGCGGCGCATCTCATGGACTCCCTGTTGCCCATCAAATCCTGCCTCTTGCTGAACTTTTCTCCAATGGCAGGGCAGCAGCCACACACACAGGGTGACGTCCCCAAGGCAGCCGGGGCAGTGCGGGGAGGCTTCATCCGGGGCCTCTGTGCCTGCGAGCACCATGAGAGCGGCAAGCCTTGGGAGGAGCCGGTCCCACGTAATATTTGCGTGATATTTGGACCCATCCTTTAGAAATGTGACTCAGTATTTCTTTCTCAAGGGTGCCATTTGTCATGTACCTGGCTTCCCTGATGGTCTTTTCCCATCTCCTCACCCACTTGGGAAGATTCTGTGTATTCCTCTTATAAAGGCAGCTCTGGACAGGTACATTGTGCCCAGTTTATTCCCCTATTACTTTTCTGACAGTATCTCCACATCAGCCTCCATCTCTTTGAAGTGTCTCTTAATGAGTAGGCTTCCCTTTTGACACACCTTCCGTCTAACGTTCAACATCCCAAAGAGCTGAGGTCTGCAGAGCTTTTCTTTCCTTCCGTACTCATTCTTCCTTATGAACTTTGTTTATGTTGGGATCAGTATATGAAAAGAAATTCACATACCATCTGTTTTCTTTCATTTGTCCCACTATTTCTTTCCCTCACTATAAAAAAATGAATGTGCTACCAATTTCAGAGTGTTACACTCAAGCTCAAACCAATGGATCCAGTCCTCCATGGGATATTTTGGAGAATGAAATACCAAGACGAGGGAAAATAGTAAGTGTTCCAAGAAATGATTCCATGTGTATTTTTGGAGAAAATCGGACATTTTATAACATTGGAGATGAGCCCCAAGTCCAGGAGAGGCATTTGAGGTGAGTGGCCCTCCCACAGGAGGAAGGGGAATCTTGGCAGAATGTCAGACTAATTTGAAATTAAAGAAAAGTCTAAACCTAGGTCAGTAATTGTGTACTCAGAAAACTTACACAATATTTTCATAAATGTGATAGCTATTGACTGTCTGAAACATGATTCAGTTGGAAAGAATGATTAAGGAAACTTCACGTGTAAGAAAACCACCTGTAAAAAGGCCACACGTAAGCCAGGAAAGTTGTGGCTGTGTTTGAGCCCTCAGCCAGAGCCTCAAGCCGGTTTTACTTGGCAAAAATGCAGACGGTGCCAAAAGCATACCCGTGTATTGAAAATGGCCAGTATGTAGTCAAAGTCATCATTGACAACCATCAATAGATCATTCATAAATCAGTGATAATAATGAATAATCCCTAATGGTGTGCTTCCTATTTTGAACAGAAGCCATTTCTTGGAGGGTCTCTGTGAACGTGATGAAGGTAATCAACGTGGAGCAGCCCTGAATCAGGTTCCAAGTCTCCTTGTGCATGAGCATTATCCTACTGGAGATAAACCCTATGAATGCCGTAAGTGGAAAAACCTTGAGGGATTGTTCTTTCCTTAAGGATCAACAAAGATCTCACCCTGGGCAGAAACCTTATCAGTGTGGGCAAGCCTGCAGTCCTGTCTTGTGCCTAAGCACTCGTGTGGGAACTGACGTTGTAGAGAAGCTCTATAAAGGTCAGAGTTCTGAGATAGAATCTAAGAGATACGTGGAACATCTCAGTAGTAGAAAGTCATTTGAGTGTACAAAATGTGGGAAAGCATTCATTCACCACTCCTTTCTGAGACGTGTGAGACGTCAGTGTGGAAAAGGATATAGTTGTCTCTCCTACTTTCGTGAGCATGTGAGAACACACAGTGAGGAGAAACCCTGTGAATGTAGGGACTGTGGGAAAATATATAGTTGTTCCTCATCCCTACAGCTGCACGTGAGAACACACACTGGGGAGAAGCCCTATAAATGTAAAGAGTGTGGGGCAGCTTTCAGCTCTCACTCCTCCCTTCAGAGACACAAGAGAACACATAATGGAGTGAAACCCTAGAAATGTAAGGAGTGTGGAAAAGTGTTCACAGAGCTTCAACATTCTAAAAATCATATGAACCTGCACAGAGGTGTGAAGCCCTATGAATGTCAGGAGTGTGGGAAAGCTTTCAGTTTCCCACACACCTGCGAGTCCATATGAAGATGCACACAGGGGAGAAACCCTATAAATGTCTGCAGTGTGGGAAAGCCTTCATTTCTCCTTCCTCCCTTCAAGGACATGTGGGAACACAAACTGGAGCGAAGCCCTATGAATGTAAAGAGTGTGGGAAAGCCTACCGTTGTTCCTCATCCCTACGAAGACATGCGAGAACGCACACCAGAGAGAGGCCCTACGAGTGCCCACAGTGCGGGAAAGTCTACAGTTCTTCCTATTCCCTCCAAGGCCACGCGACAGTGCACACCGGGGAGAAGCCATACAAGTGCCAGCAGTGTGGGAAAGCTTTCAGGCGGCTTCATCAGTTTCAAAGTCACACAAGGTCACACAGTGGAGTGAAGCCCTATAAATGTAAGGAGTGTGGAAAAGTCTATAGTCAGTCCTCATCCCTTCAGATACACACAAGGATGCACACCGGGGAGAGGCCCTTTGCATGTCCGCACTGTGGGAAAGCCTTTAGTCGTCTCTCCTCCCTTCGAGGACACCTGAGGACGCACACTGGTGTGAAGCCCTATGCGTGTGGGGAGTGTGGGAAAACCTTCAGATATCCTGCAAGCTTGCGAGGCCATGTGATGACCCACACTGGAGAGAGGCCCTATGAGTGTAAGGAGTGTGGGAAGACGTTCAGGTATCCTTCAAACCTGCGAGCCCACATGAGGACACACACTGGGGAGAAACTCTTAATACAGGGAGAGTGGGAAAGCCTGCATTCCCCTACAGCCTTGTCATGAGAGCAAACCGGAGAAAACACTTAGGAATGGACAGATTGTTGGAAAACCTTCAGTTGTGAACTTCGCCCATGCTGTATGTGAAATCGTCGGGGCCAGGCAGAGGCCTTCAGTTGTTTTAATTATGGTTTTGTCTTTGTAAGGGCCCCATCCTTGATTCCTAGTATCACTTTATAATGCATGCTCCAGATACGAACACTTTTGTAATATGTATTCCTTTGTGCCCCCTTCATCTTCACTACATATATTTTGTCTCTTGGACTTTCAATAATTGTACAGTATCACAAAACGTGGTATTTCCATTACAATGTTTTGGACCCAAATTAGATGGGTGTTTTTTGTATTTTGGTCTTCTTTTATACAACTTAATATAATTTTAGATGAAGAGTGTTTTGAATCTTCTTTTCTGTTATGTTCCTAGTATTTGATCATGATATGAGATCTATTTTGAAATTCCTGTTCTGGCCCACTGTTGTAGATACTGGAATTTCCTGCCAAAATGTTCACCTTCCCCTTCAATCTTTATTATTGAAAAATGTATCTTCCACATTGGCTTGTTGCTACTAGATACCGCATGTGTGTTCCTCACAGCAATTACTAATTGTGGAAAGATCTAGAAAGTGGACAGTCTCTTCTGATTATGTTCATAATTTGTCTTCTGCTCATTGTCCTTAATCTTGCAGAGAAGTTGGACACCGTGTATTGAATTCAGAAGAGAGACAAGGCATGAATAGTAAAGCTAGTGTCCAGATGGTTCTACTGAGTTGTGTAGTCCGCTTGGGTATGGTGGGAAACTACATCCCAGTGTGCTTGTGTTTATGGCTCTTAAGTTACATTCATAAGAGGAAGATGCATGAAGTTTGGAAAGCAGAAGTGGAGAAGCCATGATTCTCTGTTCTGTACCACCAGGAGACAGAGATGCATGGGAACTAGGTGGGCCCTGAGTACAGCACATGGTCCCAACTCCTGGCCCTGCCCATGTGGAACAGATTCCCAGCAAGCACATGTTTCATGTCGCCTCTTAGGCACCAGCTTCTCAAGCTTGTTCCAGAAGATCCCTCCTGAAGGACCCTTCTGTTTCCAGGTCCACACAGGTCCTTGCACTTTCCTGTAGCTCTTCGGTGTTCCTCAGACCTCTGCAGGCTGTCACACTGAGCAGCGTCTGTCATCCTGTGACTCTGCTGATCGCCAACACTTCTACTTACATGATTTCTCTGGTAAGCATCTTGTTCTAAGAGTGGATCTGTCTCCCGCATCCGCCCTGACAGATCCGATGCTGCAGCCACAGACGCAGGGCACTTCTCTGGCTGCGTCATTGAGTGGCTGCATTGGCCTTGTGTCATTTATCTTTCGATGATTCCAGGATCGCAATAAGCACTTGTGAATATAGTCGGTGGTGGTTGGAGTTTTCTCTTCCAGCCGATCCCTTTCTGAATGATGAGCCCAGTCAGTCTAATTATTTGCCATTTTTATGTAGGATTGCCTACCATTTATTCTTTCATTTTTCATATATGATTCAAAACGATGCATTTTTTAAGCAAATATAGTTCTGTACACTGTTTCTTAGCTCGTTACCTAGGTTTTGTAAATGTGCCCATTTTTCTATATATATTCTGGAGTAATAGTATAAAATGCTCACACCTTTTGACATTTTTCTTCTTGGTGTGTTTTTATTGAATTCCAATTCATCTACCTTTTTTTTTCATTAAAATGAGTTTTTCATTCCTAATAGTGAAATCCTAAATACTGCTTACGTAATGGCCTCCAGCCCAAGATCACCAGGAATCTGGCTTCTGCAGTCCCATAACTGGTGAGGGGGGAACCAGGCATAGCATCTTCCCTAGTTTTCTATGGACTGGAACAAAGATGTTAGTTGTTGAAGTGAGTACTTAGTTGTGGTGGGAATGAGTTAGTCCAGTTTATAGGTATAACTGCTTTGAGTAAATTCCACAGATTCCTGGAAGTGCTGTTTCTGAATGTTTATTTTCCAAATTGCTCTTAGAGGGTTAATGGAAAACTGATACCTGAATGGAAACCTCTCTTCCCTCTTTTTGCCTTGCTAGTCATTTTGCCTAATACCTACAGGACGTCTTTTCCTGGTGGTGGTTGCTCGATAATGCTGTTGCCCAGCAATGTTCCCTTGAATTATTCCACTGGATGAAAATGGGCCACGCCTTTGTCTTTTCATTCAGACTTGCTGTGATTCAGTTACCTGCCACCAACTGAGAAAGGTCAGTTTCTCTCGCCTTGGGCATAGGGGGAGAGTATTGCATTTTGGGGGAGCCTGGCTGTTCCAAGTGATGCGTAGGATAAGCATCCCCTCTGGGACTTGGGAGAGGAAATGGCCAGTAAGCACATCTGCACCACCTTTACAGAGAACAAGTTCGTACATAAGCAATGCCAACAGTTGTCAGAGTGGATTTCCTCTCTGGTGGTGATTCAGCACCCGAATGACCATTGTTCATGGGGATACCAGCACACAGTAGGGCTCCGTGTAGCGTCGCTGAGAAGTAGTGGCATGGAGGGTGTAGATCGCAACACTGCCATTTCCCCACCAGTGGGAATGAGTTCACACTCACATTTCCCGTAGGACTCGTTTTTTTCAAAGCAGAACCATGAAATTCCTGATTTCAACCATTTTCTACAAATCGTTACCCCTTCTAAACACCCAGACAGTGCTTTCCTTGTGACTTAAGGGTTCTTTTGTTTCAAGTGCTTCTCAGAACCTGATCCTGAAGTCGTGGAGGGTTTGGAGGCGGTCAGTCTGCCCTGTGCTGCGTACTTCTAGGAGACGGCCAATCACGGGAAGGTAAGAAGATGGGGCACAGAAAGCCTCAAGAAAGCAGTTCATTACACTCAGGTCTTAGACGTACAGTGATGGTTTGCACGAAGGGGGTGATAGTGGGGTGGTGCGACGGGAGCGGGTGGGAACCATACAGCATGAGGAGCCCTGGGCAGGGCTTAGATAGGTATGAAGCCTAATTTTTTATTTTGCACTTAGAGTGCAGATAATGACAATGAGTAATGACTGAGAAAATCATTTGGAATCTTGATCCTGTGTTGGTTTCATCCTAGATTTTTGGCCTCTGGCACGTCACCTACATGAATAGGCCTTAGTCAACGCATAAAAGGAGATAATAAAAATATCTACATTATACAGATTGCAGAGAAGTAACTGAACTGAATTGATATATTCTGAGCTATTTTATGGAAAACATGTAAAACAAGTGCCTGATAAGATTAAGATACGTGTTAGTGTTCAAATAGTAAATGAAAGTGGCAGTCGCAGTCGCAGACAAGTCAAGTGCCAGCTGGCCTGGCACTCACTACTGTGGCTTTTCTCCTCGAGAAGAAACAGCGTCCCCCAACTCTGTCATCTGATGGTACAGTGGGGTGTCTGTGACGGGTCAAGACAAATGAAGAGCATGTCATAGTCCTGCACATGTAAAAAGGCTAAGAATCCGACTCCAAACCGCAAAGTGACCATTCCCCACTCCTTGCTAATCTCTGGTGCCTGTTTGCCAATCATTTGTAGCTGCACTGTATTCTTCCTGGTTTCTAGATAAGAACTACACAGATATGCAATCATAAATATGTTTGCCTTCTGAAGTGTCGAATCCAGGACAGAGGAACACTTCTTGGATATTCAAGTCATCCAGTAGAGGTATAAATGCTGTGATATGTCCTTTAGGCACTTTGTATGTGAAACTAAGTCCTAATGCCCTATATGTGATAATACTTCCTCTTATTTGACACATACACATCCTACACTTCATGGGGTGTATTATCCCCAATTCTCTAAGTCAGTGTACCCCCTTTCTTTGACTATGGGTGTGATCTTGTTGGGCTCTGACTAGAGAGCATTGAAAAAAATATTTTTTCACCCTCAATGTATTATAACTCACTTTAATGAAATAAGTTTAAGTATATAAGAATAAAAAATCCACCTGAAATAAAAAAGTCCCTACATGCATATGTACCTAGTGGTATTCACTAAGAATTCTCTTCCGTTGAGAAAATTGCAAGGTTGATAAGACAACCTGTAATTACAAGGGGATTTTTTTATATACCTTCTCAGCTAATGAAAATTAAAAGAGAGTAACATTTATTAATATACAACAGATTTGAAAACACAGTAGGACTTTTCTGGGAAATGTGTAGAATAATTGAGTTTGAAGAAGCAAATGCATATCATTTTTAATCACATAAATACGGTGATGGAGCTCACACAGGGCCTGCATTCAGCTCTGAGTAAGAGACATGCGCACCGTCTGCTATGAGGAAGTCGCTTATTTGGAACATCAGGTTTGGAACACTGCTTACTCAGTGCAGTAGGAGAACCAAGTGCCATGCAGATTTTAGCTGCACCATCATTATGGAGCCAAATTCCTAGAGAGTCTAAAATTATTAAGAGAATGAGTGTTCACTGTAGATATGAGATCTTATACAAATTACTGTGACACCTAGAGAAGACGGGAATCAATGCATAAGTGAAAATCAACAACCATGGCAGCCTCAGTGGTCTGTGAACAACTTGCTGGAAAATGCAAACCTGTGGATTTCTGATGCCAGGCTGATCCATGATGATTAACAGGACTTTTCACCTAGCCGTTGAGTTATTAACCTAGCAGTTGAATCAATACACAAAAATGGTAGAGTCGTACAAGGGGAACACTAGGTTAATAAAAATGAGTGAATTGCAAAGGTATGTCAGACTCTAAACATTTTTGAGCAAAAGATATTTGACATAAAATATTCCATGCTGTTTGATTCTATTTACCTGCCATATAAAATAGAAACTATTGTGTACGCAGGGAATGAAACTATAAAGAAACAAGAGGAAATTCTCTTTTATATGTTTGGGATTTTGGTGTCTGCAGGGTGAGGCTCTGACAGTCCCAGTTCCTGGAATTGAGTGGCACAACCTGAGAGTGAAGGAAACAGAATCTTCATGAACTTGGAGCTGGTAATGATTTCTTAACTATGACACCAAAGTACAAGCAACAAAAAAATGGATACATTCAACTTCATCAAAATTAAAATGGTACACCAAAAGATCCTATCGAGAGAGTAAAAAGACACCGGAATGGGAGAACTTATTTGTAAATCATATATGAGATAAGGTTTGCATAAAGAAGATGATGCCAGGGTTCTCGTTAGCAGAGTCAAAGAATGAACTTCGTGAACAGAGAAGGCAGATTTACAGAGAGTTTTTATTTCCGGTACAGAGGGAGAGCTTTATTCAGGATAAGAAAGAGAAAGAGTGTGGAACTCCCCTCAGGTGCAGGGAGGGGAAGGTTGCCCCTGGGACTCTCCGTGTCTAGGTTTTATGCTTGCTGCAGTGGGAGTTTGCTATAGATTCAGCCAGAATGCTAATTATATTAACCTCTCCGTCTGTGAAGGTTTCCCGGATACCCTATTGTAAGCTAATGGGCCTACAGGACTATGGGCAATGAGCTGTTCTATACCAGTGGGTCCCGATGGGGAATAAATTGTTACATTGTTTCAAGTACTCGGTTTTGTAAGATTTTGTCCTTTCCAGGGCGCACACCTACTCTAACCGGGCAGGAGTTAGGCCCTGCTGCCTCTCTGTCTCAAACCCTCATATCTCAGTTAAGAAAAGTGCAAGCGCCCCGTTTAAAAATGGGCCAAGACATGAATCCAAAGATGACATACAAGTGGTCAATAAACCTATGAAAAGATGCTGACCTTCACTAATCATCAGAAAACTGCTAATCAAAACTGTGATGAGGTCCCACTTTTAGAGCTAGAATCAGAAAATGAGAAAACAAGTATTGGCAAGGATGTGAAGTTAGAGTGCTCCTGCACTGCTGGAGCGGGGGATGTAAATGGTGTACTTGCCGCAGGAGAGAGCTATGTGGCTCCCCAAAAAGTCAAACCTAGAATTACTACGTGACCCAGCCATTCTCCTACCTATGTTGAAACAGATACTCAAATATGTGTTCAAACAACAATGTTCATTGCAGGATTATTCAAACTAGCCACAGGTGGAAACATCCCCAATGCCCATCAGGGGATGAATGGGTAAGCGAAGCACAGCAAAGAAACGATGGAGTATCATTCGACCATAAAATGGACACGTGGTGCAACATGAATGAACCTTGCAAATCTTGTGCTAATGGAAGAAGCCAGAAGGCCATTTTTTATAAAATATACAGAATTGGCAAAAGCATAAACAAAATACTGGTGGCCGGGAGGTAGGGTTATGGCTACTATGGCCTTTTAAGTCTTTTTAAGTGGAGATATAATTCACATAATGCTCCCACTTTTCAGTGTTTTTTCGTTTTTGTTTTTTAACATCCACCAAGCTTAGCGACATCACTGCAATCTGAATGTGAAAATACAGACCTACTTTCCAAAATTCACAGGGACTTATTAAAAGCGTACCCACTGGGGAGAGCATTGTGTGTTTTCCTCGGTTCTTGGCCCCACCGCAACAAAGAATTGAAAGGCAGAGACACAGCAGCGAAGCACAGGAGAAGTTTTACTTGAAGCTACTTAGAGAAAAAGTGCAGCAGGCGCCTTGAAAGGTTGAAAAGAGAAAGTTTAGAGTTAAAAGTTTACGCACTTAGAAAGTGCAGGTGACCTCAGAGAGAGGAGAGCCCTGAAAGGTTGGGGGTTCCCCCTTTTAAGGATTTTTTTTTTAGGAATGTGACCACAGGCTGGGGGTGCAGACTTGCTAAGTGGTCCCTGAATATTTAAAGTTAACCTAACACACGGGATTTACTGCCCTCATTTCACCAGCGTCTTGGTCTGGGAACATATCAAACAAGGCTGGGCTGAGCTATTGTCTGTTTGCTAAAGAATAAGTTAAGAATCTTCTTAATTTCCTGGGCATTAAAATGCAATCTTTGTTGAATGTACGCATGATAGTTTTCCATTCATATTTCCTCCTTGATTATACCCTGGATAAGTCTATATACATCAACAATCACACACACACACAAATGCAATCTTATCTTTAAGATGGAATCCTTCCTTTTACTCTGTTGCATACAGCTGGGCCTGCATGCTAAATTCATTCCCCAGGTTGCAAATTACTTGACTGGGGCTGAAGGAGACAAAAACAGCATACAGGTAAAGTTAAAAAATAAGCTGGGCCTGCATAATTAATACAATAAAGACATGGGCGATGCTGAGTACCCTCCTTTACCTGGGGAATATTCAAACATTCCAGGCCAAGTTGCTCCTGGCTTTTTGAGCTTGAACTGATTAACTCCTTAACCCTGGGCCTTTTGTACCTGACAAAAGTATTTTTCCAAAGTAAGTAGCACACAGGAAAATTACAGCATTTCACATCTGTGGCTGTGCTGAGCCCTATGGGGCTGGTGGTGAGTGAAAAAGGACCCACGCCAAGTTTTGCTGACCTCAAGCCCCCAACCCACCCAGAGGGTGGCGGGACGAAGCGCTGGGCCTCCCGGAGCAAGGTCACGAGTCTAAGCAGCCATGCTGAGTCGCGCACGAGGTGACGTAACTGCCGCGGGCTGGGGTGGGGTGGGGTCTTGGTTTTTAAACAAAGGGCACAGATGTAAACTGATCTCCCCCATGACATCCTTAAACCTAGGGGTCGCCACATTCCGGTCCCTACCTCCCGTCCCGGCTAGACAAGGGGCGCCCGGCGGGGAAACTGAGTCAGGACCGCCCCGGTCCAGGAAAGAGAGCGCAGAGCGGACGCCGAGCTGCGGACAAGAGCCTGTCTATCCAGCGGGAGCGGGACGAGCCCCGGGACGCGGCGGGCGGGTCTGGGTCAGGGTACATGCGCGGCAGGTGAGGCCGCGGCCCACACCCATCTTGCTAGCCCGGTCTGGCCACGTGACCACTCCAACTGCCAATCACGCAGGCGAGGCAGCGCAGACGCTCAAATTGTGCAATCAGCGCTGCTAACGTCAGGGGCACTGTCCACTCAGGGCCACCGAGAGGACACTGTCCATTCAGGGCGCCGCGGCTCGGGGCACTGTCAAATCAGAGGCTCGGAGGAGGGGTCCAGACTCTCCGAATCCAGGAGGCCGGCCCCACCGCGTGGACATCGCTCCCGGCCGCCGCTTCCCGCGTGCGCACCTGCCGGCAGCGGCCCCAGGGGACCCGTCCGCGGGGCTCTCGCCTGCCAGGGCCTCGGGGCCGCGAGATGGTGAGTGCGCGGGGCCGGGGGCGTGGGGGCCTTGGAAAAACCCCGGTCTCCCCGCGCCCTCCTCCCACCCGGGGTCCCGAGTCTCCGCCCTCTGCCGCGGGTGGGGTCCGGCGTCCTGTCCCCGAGCCCGTGGGTGCTGGCGCCCGCTGGAAGCGAGACCGTCCGGGCAAGTCAGGGGCCGGCGTGGGCGCGGGGACCCGCCCTGGAGCTGCCGGGTTTGGTCAATTCCCGACCCGGTTAAGGACACCTCCTCCCAAGGCTGCTGCAGCAGGAACAAGGGTGGGGTCCGAGGGCTCCCCCGGCGTGTCCGGCACACAGATCGGGCTTTGCTGTGTTAGGAGGGCGGGCAGGGGCGGCGTGACCGATGGGGCGTCCCTGAGGACGGCGCACTGCTGCTCAGGCCACCAGGCCCTTGTTCTGCATCTCAGGGTTGCTCAGACCTGGTGGCGGGCGACCCAGAGTAGAGTCTGTAGGGAGAACAGTATTCTGAATAAAGTTTGGTCAGGACGGGCAATTGTGGGTACGTGGGGAAGCCAGAATCAAGTGAAAGTTCGATTTTAGTAGGTAGAGAATCTCATTCAAAATAACTTTTGCCGGGGTGAGGGAGAAGGGACTGTCGCACCGAGGGCAGAAGCTCTGCATTGGGGGTGGGGGTCCTGCACTTAGGAGGTCCTGCACTGGGGCGGGGGTGG